TGTCTCAAAAAGACCAAAAGAAAAAAAAAGAAAAAGAAAAGAAAAGAAAAGAAAAGCTACTACCTCATGGTTATTTTGGCCTCCATCTTAAGTAAAATGATAAAGAGACTCTGTTTTGTCAGAGTATATGCTCATTCCCAGGTTGAATCCTAGCACCCTCTAGCAATATGTATGAATCTGTGTGGCCATTTCAACAAGACTTTGCTACCTGTTAAACGGATTCCCAGTTTCCCCATTTTTAGATGATTCCTTCCAACCTATTTTATTTAGCACATACTATTCTTCTTAAAGTTATTGTTCATTAAAAGTAAGCATAGGGAATCTAAATATGACCAAAATGTATTGTATGATATTTGCAAAGATTCAATTAAAAAAGGCGGGGGGAGTAAGCATAAGCTGAGTGTAGTGGCTCACACCTTTAATCCCAGGACTCAGGAGTCAGAGGCAGTCACATCTCTTTGAGTTAGAGGGCAGCCAGAGCTACATAGTGAGACTTTGTCTCAAAAACAAAAATAAAAGTAAACATAAATCCAGCTTGTCTCACTATACCTCGGACAGCACCCATTAACTAGTACCATGTTTTGTTTATTTCAAAACTATTTAGTCTAACACATAAGTTTTCATTGAGGATTGACTACCTAAATAACATTAGCACATGTACTATATTCCCCAAATATTGGGTACTGTGTTCTAGAGCACTAAGGTTGTCAGTTCCACATGTAGTTTAGTGTAACTGTCTCAAAAGGTTTCCCATAATCTTCCTTGTTTCACATTAAAGTTATTTCAAGTAGGGACAACGATCCAATTTGTAATGACTAATATATTATTTTCATCCATAACCCATAGATATTTTTCATAGTTTAAAAATAATTTTTACACACAAAACAGGATGTGTTCTTACACATCTTCTATGGCCATATAAAGGTATTACACCTGGAGGCTATTCTTAGTGATTATCAAAACTTACAATTATGCAGTTACCAATTTGCCTAACGTTTAGTATTTTGCATCAAAACCTTCAGGAGGAAGAGATCCATGAATACATAATTTTCCCTAATATTCTAATGAAGGAAAGTTTCCATAATACAGCTTCAACTACTTTTCTACCAGTAAGATGCAGAAAATAATTCCAATGAAAATTGTAAACAGGTACATCAAGCTTTTACAAATAAACCAGAACTCATGAAAATTCAAATACAAATAATATTATAGCACTCAAATATTTATAATATTATTGCTTATATATTTAATCTCTTTATCTTCAGATATAATCCACTAAATACTAAATGAGAATCTTTCAAAACACCTTCTCTAATAAATGAGAAGCTTTAATTCCATTCTTGAGCAATTCTGCAGAGGTTAACACTCATAAAAATACTATAATCTTTGAAAATTGCTTAAATGAAAGATGAGATTAGGGTTAAATGTCCAGTGAAGCTTGTGGAACATCAAAGTTCTTTATAAACCTTAGTACTCCTGTCTCCAGAAATGTGAGTAATACATTTCTGTTGTTTAAAAGCCAAAACTAAAACTTATTACTTGATAAAAGACTATAGATTTATTATAGCCCTCAGAATACAGAAACACACATCCTATTGTGAAGATATACAAACCAAGCACTTGTACCACTGTACCTATAACCTTTGACTAGTTAGTCATACTGGATAACAATTTTCCATCCTCAGAGATTAAAAACTGTATGATATACAAATATTAAATATTAATATAGTGTGAAGCTACTGAGTGACCTGGCACAAGAATTCTAAACATCCTTTTGACCACAGTTAGTAACAGGCTGAACCAGTACCATTGAGATTAGCTGCTTCTCTGAAGAGAAGGACAGACGTCAATTAACTCCAAATGTTATGGTGTTCATTTATTACCATATGGTGGTATCTAATCTTTATAGAGGTTTTATAATAAAATTCAAACTTTTGATCTATTCTGAAATTCAGTTAACTTTCTCGCTAAACAGAAATACCTTCACTGTTCCTCACACTTCCAGATACATTGGGTTCTTCTTTGCTTTTTGGAGAATTAGTACATGAAGTGGCCCAAAATTCACTGCCTTTGGAGAAACTTCTCAGCTTATATAAAATTTATTCTGTTGCTTCTACCATAAGAGCATATGAAAACAGTAAATAGCTATTGAACATTCTGGAGAAGTGGCATAATATTTTGTTGTTAATTTCAGAAGACTTGAAGGGATGAGGAGTAAGAAATGATGGTGGCATGGACCAGGGAAGAAGAAATGGAAGTAGTTAAGAAATAATCGCAATCTGGATGTATAATAAACATAGAGGCAACAGGATTTGCTGATGGAGGTTATGTGGATAATCAGAAAAAAAAGTAGGAATGAAGATTAACAGATGCTGTGAGTTCAGATGTGGGAGGGAGTCTGAATATGATCAAAATACATTGCACAAAATTCTCAAAAAAAAAACAATTAAATATTTCTAAAAGAATAAGAAATAAATCAATAAGTTTTTAAACCTCCAAAAAAGAATATTCAACAGTTTCTGGCCTAGGGACAATAGAAATTCTTCGAAAATAGGTGCAATAGGGGTATGTTTTTGTGTTGCTGGGAAAGATCCAGAGGAAAGGCAGACACTGCTAAAAGTAGGTAGAGAGGACAATCATTGGAATGATGGCCTTGAGCATAGAGAAGACAGAACGAGGCTGGCTGTTGAAAAAACAATTCTGTAGTAACAGAAGATAAGGAAGAGAACTAGGCTACAGACACAGATGCACACAGAGGTGGGGTAGACAAGTGCTTTTTGACTGCTATTTTATTGGTAGAAATAAGATATAATTGAACAGTGAAATTGGAGGAAGCGTTGAGGGTTTAAGGAGAAAGGAACTTGTAGAATTCATAACCAAGGAAAGGAGGAGAGTAAATATCTAAGGAAACATGATTAATGGTCAGTACTAAGGGTCTATCCTGAAAGCATGGTTACAAATTGAAAGTCAGTATAGCTACAAATGTTTTCCTGATACTTCAGCTAATCAAGATGTAAATACAGAGATGGTAGGAGTTGGGATTTAGCCAAGGTTGGGTCTTTCCAGCAAGTATATCCATTCCTACCTATGTATAGGCTTCACATGCATAGGTTTACCAAACCTTGAATTGAAGATCTACAACTGGTCAAATGCACAGAGTAAGTGACTGTGGGGTGCTTGGCCATAACTGATACATCTGCAATGCAACTTCTACACCTAAGAATCAGGAAACATTGAGGAAGAGGGGTGAAAGATTGTAACAGTCAGACCAACAAGACACCTGCTTCTAGATAATGCATTCTAGACATGACAGGGAAGCTGTTGTGTTGTATGATTACCTAAAAAGACCTACATAATGATACAATCAGTTGACATGCTGATGTAGGTAGGGGTATGACACAGGGTCCAGCCTCTAGATGAAGAGCTGCAGGCAATCAATTGATGCTGAGGGAGGGAGAATTAGTATTCTCCAGGGAAAAACTCCCAAATAGATTATCTAATCCCAAGTGATCAGCTGTAAACACATGTACACATGATCACCACTAAATGGACTCAGTGATTATAGATAGATAGATATGTATGTTTATAAATGTATAGATAACAATAATAATAGAAGACTAAGACAAGAAATTGAGAGGGAGTGGGGTGTACAGGAGGAGTTTGAGGGGGGTAGGAAGCGTGGAAATGATGTAAATATAGTACTCATGTATGAAATTCTCGAGAAATTATATAAAAAGAAAATATTCAAAATGAAATATTGCATCTCTCTTGGATATACATAGACTTTTATTCTGATAGCCATTCCCTACAGAATGCAGGGTAAGAGCTATTTGCAGACGATTTACATTGTATCAGGTATTATAAGTAAACTAGACATATATAAGCTATCTGTATATACTTAAATTACATGCAAATACTACATTATTTTATATAACACACTTGATCATCCAAAAACTTGGGTATACACTGGGACATCCTAGAATCAATCCCCTATGGATACCAAAGGAATGGCTCTATGACAAAGAGAGTGAAGGGCCAAGGGACTGAAGATAGATGCATGGGAATGACTGTGGAATTTGAATGGATTAGAGAATTGAGGATATAGGAAGGAGTAAGGGATAGTTTAAAGATGACAGGATCAGAGCCATACAACCATAAGTACTTTCCTGTTCTGTAATGCTTTGGGTATTGTCCTACCATTTCTGTACTTTGTACACTTTTAAGTATTAATGGTATGTTAAATATCAATATGCAATATGTTTGCAGCTAAGCACTATACCATGCAAAGTTAGTGCTTTAAATTTTTTCTTGGGCTGGCATGGTGGCTCAGCAGTTACAGGTGCTTACTGTGCAAAATGTACAACTTGAATTCAACCTTGGAACTCCCAAGGTGGAAGGAGAGAATCAACTCCTGAAAGTTGCCCTCTGACCTCCCCATGCACACATACACACACACATACACACACACACACACACACACACACAAAAGCACATACAAAATAAATAACTGTAATAAAACTTGACTTGTCATGAAATTCAGTAGTCTCCACTTACACATGCAAACACACACACATACACATTCATACACAGTAAGAGTGTTTATCTTCAGGCAGTGACAATAGTTAGATTAGGTTTTACAAAGGTTTCTTTCTCTGTACTTTCTAATTTCAGCATTTTCTTTATTGAATATGAAATGCTTTTATAATTTAAAAATGTTCATTTAAAACAACATATGTATTGACACTCGTTTGTAAATAAGCAATGGCTGTGCTCCTTAATGACGTGTTAAAGACTTAATTAAGCAAGATTAACTTCCTTGACAAACGACAGAAAATAAAAGATTTGAAAATATGAAAACTGATATACTTTAAAAATGTCTAGATTTCCTAAAACACATACATAGAAATTTGTCTAATTAGTAAAGCCTGTTATTATGAATGAAATCCAAACTGTAATTGAAACAGCAAAAAAAAATTAAAGTTGGAAGGAGCATTACAAACCTGCTTCCTGCTTTGAGCTCTTGCATTCCGTAATCTTCGAGCAGAATAAAAGATAAAATAGCCCACAGTTGCTGCCGTAATAATAAAAAATGACACAGAAACAAAGAAAATTGAATAATGATTCACCCAAGGGCCATGTTTTTTCCCTACTTCGATGACCATTGTTACTTGTATGCCTTTTTGAATAGACTGTAGAATTTTTGTTCCCTTTAAGTTGCCAATCATGATTGCAACAATGTCTCCTGCACCTGTAACAGAAAATGAATCCAGTTTTAGTTTGATAATCTTAACATAAAAGTCTTTTATGTATGATTTAAATATTTTTAAATTATTTTAAAATAGACCCAATGACACAAGAGAAGGACATACCTTCATTCAATTAACTTTTATTCAGCACCTACTATATATTCACAAGTTGTAGGGCTATGACCAAGAATGAGGCTTACTTACTGATTCTAAGGAACTCACAGTTTAAAGGAAGATATTACACACAACAGATACCTCCCTCTCCTTTCATTAATTACATATAATTCAACAGCATCACCCTTGAGGCCTGATTAGCATTTTTGAGACAAGGTGTAACTATCTCCCAGGCAAGCCTGGAACTCAAGGTCATCCTGTTTCAGCCTTCTGACTAACTGGGATTACACGCCTGAACAATTTGGGCAAGCCCAATCTGCAATTTATATAAATGGTTGCTTAATGACAAATAGTCCACTAGCTGGTTTTCTAGGGAATAGAGCTTATATCCTAGGGAATATAAACATTTAGCTGCACATTGTTTCTTTTCATTTTATTTATTATTTTTTTGTGTGTATGTGTGTATTGCTAGCATGTATGTAAGTGCACCTGTGCTATGCAATGCCAGAGGAGGGCAGAAGAGGGTGTGGGATCCCCTGGAACTGAAGTTACTGATAGTTGTTAGCCACCATATAGGTATTGGGATTTGAACCTGGGTCCTCTGCAAGAGCAGTCAGTGCTCTTAACCACTGAGCCATCCCTCCAGTCCCAGCAATACATTTTTTTAATCTATAAGGAGACAGACTGTCATGTGCACTCACTACTAATATATATAAATCTTACATACTAGGTTAGGAATTTGAGACGAATTTGTCTATAAACCCAATTGTACAACCTATGCATATGTTCATCATGTGCCACCTTTCTACATCCTCAAAAGTAATATAAAAATTGGCCAAGCTATTTGAGAGGGAGAAATGTATCTGTGGAAGGGAAAGTTGTAACATGAGGGGGTAACAAATAGTCTCTAATAATCAAAGTAGATTATATACATGTATGAAAATGTCATAAAGAAATATTATTTTGTCCATTTAATATGCACTATGTAACAAAGTAAAAAAGGCACAGTTTCATTCAATTAACATTTATTACAAGG